ACAGTTCAAAGTAATCCTTATTTACCTCATACTGGAACCTCAGTTCATCCTCCGTGTGAAACCAGAACACACCCTCCCTCTGATTGGTTTGAACAGGATGTGGGTAGGGCCCGAGATGACCATGTTGTAGATAGCCCATCTAACTGACATCATCCAGATCCAATACTAGAAAAAAACAGTTTAGGGAACTCAGAGGCCTGAACAGCGATTACTGATTGCCTGTAGTTTTTCATGTTTGTCTGCAAATATTCGCTAACTACTAGTCGGGCAATAATAAATCTGCAGCCAACATGTTTCATAAGGGACAGCTTTTACTTTGAAGGTGAAACGTCTTCATATCCAGTTTCACTGCAGCTTGCAGAGTAGCTGGACAGTGTTTGTGGACACGTCTGTAACTCCCAATCAAATTGCAACTGCAGCAATATGCTAGTGACCAAAGGAATCACAAGGAGGTTTCTGCCACCCATTTGGGGAATATGTCGTTTTCCTTAGCAACAGGTGGTTGCCAGATCATTAACTTGATCCTACATTGTCACTATGATTGTCACATGTCCAAAAATGGGGGTTAAGTTAATGTTGCATTGTTTGTGTCTGCAAAACCTCAAAATGACAATTCATGGGGAAGTTTTTTAATATAATTCTATACAAATGGATTGATTCTCTGATTCAATTCATTAGCCATTAGCATTAGCTGCAGCTTATAGTAAACTAGGTAAACACTCTATGAAAGTATAGAACAATCACTGGGACCATTTTTCTTTTGAGTACTTCTCCTTTTAGTGCATTAATACATTTCCTGGTCATACTTAAGAAAAAAACCTTTATTTGTAACCTTATTTACCAAATAGGACTTGACCTCAATAAGGGCTACAGTGTTATCCCATTAAATGGATTTGGATGGTTCTTAGGGCATTTTTATTGAATTAAGTTGGTTAAGTGAAAAGTCCGATGGGTGTTTGATCATCCCGTCAATTCAGACTTGAAAATACTCCTCCTTGGCCTTAAGTGCAGGACCTTAAAATAAAGGCGAGTGTGTTAACTGGTTTGTTACTACACAATAACTTATTTTACTGGCAAGAACGACTTAACAACAGCCTCAAGTCTGGTGATTGAACTTCTGTGCCTCAGTTATCTTCAGCAGCGGTGAGTTCCCTGCTTTGTGTACACAAAAGAATAACGTAGTTCTCCAGCTAAACACGTAAACAGTGCATTATCCTGACAGACTGCAAAGCTGGTTTTGGGCTGGGGTAATATTTCATAACCGCGAGGGTTCTGCTGGGATTCACAAACTGTGTTGTTTGTGTTCGAGGCTGACAGTTTGTAGCGCAGGAATGGTGCATGTTAAAGTTCTGCTTTCACCAAAGCATGCGTTAACGTCACCTTATAAACAGCAGACTTGGTGAGGATCTGTTGTAATCATAGAAATGGTTTTCCTCTCTTTTTCCATAAACCTGTAGGCAACCTCCAAAGCTAAGCTGTAAACCCATCATTAATTTGTTATCACCTTATAACATTTTTACGACTAGCTTGTTAGCACAAATTCGCCCGTTTTCATGTCCAGCAGATGACATTAGCATGAGCATCAAAGGCCATGTGATGAAGGCATGTCTAATATTTATTCTGTTTATCGGGGTTGCGTTGGTGTTAACCAGTGTTGGGTAAGTTACTTTAAATTAGTAACTTAGTTACATTACTAGTTACTTCTATCAAAAGTAACTCAGTTACTTCAAGTTACTCGTTACTTTCAGAGTAACTAGTTACTAGGGAAAGTAACTTTGGTTTTTCTCAGAATTCTTTTGTTAATGTGTTGCTTCCGTAACTGGATACCCAGCAAGATTGCCAGTCTTCTAGCTTGCTTACTTGCCACAAGTGCACTGTGCCACCTACCAATAGAAAGGAAAAAATAATGTGCACATTTCCACGAGAGAAATCCCACGCCTGATTCTGTCCTAACCTGCTTTTTACATCCAACACAAAAACTGCAGTCGTGGTGCTTTCGATTGTACTCAGAACTCTGAAATTCTGCCTTCTGAATAGGAAGATGTAGGTAACACCAGACTGCAGATGAGCTGCTTACAGGGCTGGACTGGGACAAAAAAATCATCCCGGGCATTTTGACTAGAGACCGGCCCACCATTATAGGAAAAATCATAAAGCCTTTGAATGAAAATAAACACTGTTGTGACAGTGATGTACACTGTTCTGATGGTATATATGTATCTATCAATCGTTTGTTGTAAGACTCATAATTATTTTTTGAGTGAGACATTTTAAGTGAGAATAAGAAAGTATTTCCTTGTGCCCCCCTTTCCCTTTTAATGCCCTACATGGACCCCTGGCAACACTTTGCTAGACCCGCCCCTGCCCAGTTACCAGCTGTCAGCTGCTTAGAAAAGGATCCTGGTGTTATTTGTCTCTCAGAAACAGTTCATAACTTCCCTTCAACTCATTCATGTCACCTAAAAGGTAAACCTGTTTCTCCATCACCTGTTCAGCTCTGATGATTCAGTAAGGACATCTCCTGGTTTCATCTTCATGTTTCCCTCTCACCACATAATCAAACCATATCATGACCAGCAGGTTTACAGCTGTGGCTCCAGCAAACATCAGCTGATACTAGAAATTAATATTAAATAAATTCTAACAACAGCTGATCAAGCTTAAAAGTGCTGCTGTTGTTTACCACGACATCCGGTGGTTTCCTCTTTCTGGCGCAAAGTGGGCGATAAATAAACAAGAGAGAAAAGCCGATCAGCTGATCATTGATCAGTTTCATGATTGAAGTAGAAACAGGAGAGGGAGGGGGAGAGGATGAGAGGAGAAGAGGCAGCTGTGCAGCAAAGACACAGAGTAACTCCAGCTTTGTGTCTTTTTCATTGTAGCTGAAGTCCGGGACAAACTGTTCCTTTTTACCTAAATACGAAACGCGTAATATTTTCTCTGAATACGAGATGATTCCGTTTTTTACAGGACGGTTGGCAACTCTAATAATTAACCGTATGAACAAAATAAAGTTCAACATCAGTAACATCATAGCACCCACCCAGCTGTATAGAAACTCCGTCATGCTAGCTAGCACGCAGTACAAAAAAGTCAGCATAACGAAAATAAACTCCACCCAAACTTGGTTTATATCTGACCCAGATGGACTGCAGGTCATAACTTCTTACCTGAAGTTCAGTTCACCTGACACTCTCGGACCAGCGGCTGCTTCGGGTCTCTCCTCTTGCCTCCCTTTTCCTTCATCCACCTGCTGGCTTCCACCACTTGCTAATGTTATTGAATCTGTGGAAGCTCCGCGATAGCCTCCACACGAAGTAACGAATAACGAGCCTATCTAAATCCCAGTAACGAGTAACACGTTCCCGGTTTTGGCATAATAACTAGTTACTGTGCTCGTTACCACAATAATAACGTAGTTGCTGTAACGCGTTACTTAATAACGCGTTAGTCCCACTGGTGTTAACCAAGTGCAGCCACTTGTGTTGAAGAAAATGACCAACATGGAAATGCCAAAACTGCTGTTCTCATAAACACTCATAATTTAGCCTCAGTTCCCTGTGAGGGAGCCTTAAAGCTGCTCGTAATTAGCGTCGCACAGGTTTCATCTTGTTCAGCTTTGGTTATGCTAAGAGACACTGTTCAAAATTTGTCTGCTAAGTTTTGCTAGTAACTACATTGTGTTTTAAGCCTGTTTTTTCTTTTTCGGTAGCCTAAAATAGCATCCCCTCCCCCTTATTTGCCAATGCTACCGTTAGCTAATAACCCTCCGACTCTATGGTCTCTTACAGATATTGTCACCTTAGACTTGAAAAGCAAATATGTTGATGGGCACAGACTAAACTCAAGGCTTGTAGTACACAGTGGCATCGGCCATTATTTATATACAGTCTTAATATATCTGAAGCAGCTCCTGAGGCGAACGTTACACTCTTTAACTTCTTTGTCCTCCCTGCTATTTGTTTGCAGATTCTTAGCTGAAAATGGCTTCCTGCCATCCCTGTAAACTACTTCAAAATACTTTAGAGTTGGGTATTAAGTCTCTTATGCTTTCCCACTTAAGATAAGCCCTTTGATGTCAGACACAATCACTTCATCTCTTGTGCATCTGAAGTATTTATCGTTGTTGATTAAAGTGGCTTTAACGAGTCTTAACTTAGTTGACAGTCTTGGCTTGCATTGTGGACTTTGTTCTGAGGCATTCAGGACATAAAGGTAACTAAACATAACTGAAATGACTTTTACCAGAAAGACTGTTTTCATAATAACTTAATAATCCATATGTGACCAACATGCAATAGTTTGCGGAGTAGCTTAGCAAGCTTTGTTTGGGCATCTCTCGTCATAGCAGTCGTAGCAGCAGCTCAGCCAGCAGCTCCAGTTTAAGTAGATGTTTGGATGTCAGCTCTTCCTCCCTACTACTGCCCCTCGAGGGCATTGCTATAAATAAGAGCTCCCTCTCATTCGACGGGCCTCGTTAAATATTGGTTTGCTTGGCGCTGCCAGATCTTTCTCCTCACTTGGTTTTAGCATCGTGCCAGCCGCTGGAGAGAGAGCATCGCTCAGAGTTTGTTTGCGCGGCGACAGCACAGAGTTTTAAGCGTTGCATTCATCTCGATGCTCGTCGAATGTCGTGTGTTTTGTGAGCCCGTGAAGGCGACAGCTCAAGGGAGGGGGAGTTGTGAGGAAGCTGATTCACTGTTTGCTTTTTCAAACTTCTAATTTGTCAGTTGAACTCTGTTTTATTTCGCTGTGTATCGTCTGAAAGAAAATATATAAAGAAAAAAAGCTACGAGCTTCATTAAATAAGACCGAAAATGTGTGGGCTGAAGAGTCATGTGACAGTGAGTCATGTACTTTCTTTGGTAGTAAATTATTGTCATGCTTCAGTGTGGTTACCAACCATGGCTAAAGCTGAGGAGTAAATATTTACCCGAACTGTAACTGCTTCTCTCTGATCTTCGCTCTGTGGTCGTGACCTCTCACCTCTGCCCCTCCAGAGCCAGACCAGAGAGACCGGCACAGTATTAGGAGCTGCTTTGGGACAAGGAGACCAAACAGTCAGCCAGGACCTGACTTCTCCCCACCAAGAACTCCGTCCTCCACCACCACCTCCTCCTCCCCCTCCTCCACCACCTCCTCTGCCGCCCCCTCATCTGCCTTCTTCTCCACCTGCTGGGCAAAGTCAGGATGCGGCAACTAAGAGCCAGCAGGGGAATTCTGGAAAAGGTGAGCCGGCATTAATAAAAAGTTGTGTTTTACATTTCTAAATTGCCCAATTTCTGACCCACTGCATGGATTTAAGAATATGTATGAATATATTGCCCCTGGGTTTAACTGGGTGTCACGCTATACACCCAGTTAGACCCAGCCAAACAAGACGTGACATGCTGGCACATCTAAACACTTTGACTGCACTGAAAGAATGCTGCCCTAAGGCTCAGGTGTGTGTAGGCTGCAGTGGAGATGCACCTGGTTTCAGGCTCGGGTGGGCGGTACTATCGCCAAACGGGTAGAAAAAAACATTTATATTGTGGTAAAACCCAGCGATATATCCTTCTTGCACATCCTCTTCCACAAATATGTTTATAAAGATGCGGAGCAGATATGATTAGGTGTAAGAGACTGTGCACGCTCACAGGTTAGCAGCTTGTCAGTCACGTTGGGCATGCCCTCCTTTATGGTGCTTTCTCCCTCTAGTGGGGACTTGAATTTAAAATGTTTATGTCATGTTGTCTTGAATAAGACCTTAAAATACCGACTGAGACCATAAAATAATCAGGAAAGTGTTTCACAGGAAGCTGGGGGAGCAAAGAGCTGTCGTACAGTTTTAAAGCCACAGTGTCACCCAGTGAGCAGCTGGTGTGTTGGGGTGTACGGTACGGTTTAAGGTGGGATGAATCTCTACAGGGCAGGTGCTCGCCTCTGTCCGTAACACAATACTCAACTATCTCTCTACATCATGGTCACACCACATAGCTGTCACCAGCAGAAAACGTGCACGCACACACACCTAGCATACACATACTGTGTGTGTTCAGTATACTTGCAGAGAACTGTGCATATTTCCACACACAGTGAAACCTTCCCTGTTATTTTCCCTCTGCATTTTTTCCACTTCTAGCCAGACGGAGTAGGCCACGTGTTGGTTTGCAGCATGTTTTCTGGCTCGCACAAAAATTTTTTTTGCAACTGTAAAGTAATAAAGACCGAGAGGCCACATGAAGGATATTTATCTGTGCCATGTCTCCTCAGTGGATAAATGAGACTCTTCATCAGGACGTTGACACTGCTGGGTTTCATGGTTTGTGCTGCGTGTGTGTGTGTGTGGCAGCCCAGATTAGTTTGAATGGCAGGCCTTCCACAGCTGCTTGCCAACTCACTCCCGACAGAGTGATGAGAGATGTGCGACTCCTTTATCTCTCTGTATATTGCTCATGTCTCCTCCTTCGTCACTGCTTGTCTCTGCACGTAGGTGCAGTTTCAAATTGTCCTGAATCAATACCTGAAGGCCTGGCATGTAGACACACACACACACACACACACACACACACACACACACACACACACACACACACACACACACACCTCAATGTCTTTTTCAACTTTTTCAACCCAATTCTGATCTAACAGCGGTGGAGCAGCTCTAACCTGCCACTGTGCCTGAGGCATGTATCCACAACAAAAGGAAGACCAAAAAAACCCAACATGTGTGCACATATGCAAATATTCAAAGCATTATCACAGAGTTTGCCACAATTTGAATTTGCTTGGAGAGAGATTATCTTTTTTCTTTACCCCTCAGCTCTAAAAGGTTGGTGGGGTATTGTTGTCACCCTCCTAGTCGGAGGTCAGCGTGGACACCCAAGTTTGTGAATGCGATAAATCGTGAACAACGCAGCGTGAGAGCTTCAAATTGATAGCATGGGTGTATCTGCTAAAATATGTGTGTCTAATGTGTGTTTACTAGGAGCTCGCCAGTAATTTAACATTTTAATTTCACATGAGAAAATGACACCTAGCTAATCAGCTACCCTGAGGTGAGGCCATTTCAGTGTTGTGTTCTCCTACTGGATATAGTCCTCGATATTATACAGCTTCCTCTCCAGAGATGTAAATATCATCATCATCAGATGGAGAGTTCAAGTGTGTGTGCAGATGTCCACATGTCTGCCAGTGTTTTTCAGGACCAAACAGACTCGTCTGCAGAGACTTTACATTACAATGAAGCAAGTCCCCAGGCAATGGGCTTCAAGTGGTCTTCAAAGAAGTATAACAGGAATAACTGCTTGGCTGTTTTATCTCCAGCTGGCTGTATCCACAACAGAGTATAATCAGGTGGAGAACTGGTTCGTATGGTGCTGCATGAGCTCACCAAGCCTGCAAAGCACAACAAGGACTACTGTCGCCACCTGCAGTCCAACAGCATGGAGTTACAGTTCCTCTGCACGATGAGAAACTCACCGGAGAGTCAGCTGCTTATATTAATCTGTTATCTGTTATTTATTTGTCAAGTAGTTCATTATTAAAGCATTTGCGGGGGAAGCTCTTATAAACGGGGAGTTTTTCCTTCCCACTGTTGCCAAGTGATTGCTCAAAGGGGGTCGTATGATTGTTGGGGTTTTCTCTGTATTATTGTAAGGTCTTTACATTACAATATAAAGGACCTTGAGACCTTATTTTGATTTGGCGCTTCATAAATTGAACTATATTATAAGACAGTATTCATAGTTTATACCTAATTTATGGATAAAATGAGTAGAGTTATATTTATTATTTGATTGGGCTCCGGAATGACCCCGATTTTCTGATAAAGAAAAGCAGGAATCAGCCTAAATCAGCCTTAATCAAAATTAAGCTCAATGCAGTATGACCCAAAACGAGTGAATGATTGAGACTCTAGTGACCCTTAAAAAGACGTTTACGTTTCGAAACCTGAAGTGACGTCCATCTTTTATACTCTCTATGATTAGTATTATCACTGAGGCCAGCTTTACTGTTTTTTGTGTCTGTGTTTTTTAATGCAGACAGCATGTGGTTAGCATTGTTGCCTCACAGCAAGAAGGTCCTGAGCTCGAATCCACCAACTGGCCTTTCTGTAAGGAGTTTGCATGTTCTCCCCACGGGTTCTCTCTGAGTACTCTGGCTTCCTCCCACAGTCAAAAGACATGCAGTTAGTGGGTTTAGATTAACCGGTGATTCTAAATTGCCCATAGGTGTGAATGGTCGTCTGTCTCTATGTGTTAGCCTTGCGATAGACTGGCAGCCTGTTCAAGGTGTACTTATGACTGCTGGGATAGGCTCAACCCTGATAAGGGGAAGAGGATGGATGTTTTCAATGCTGATGTGGGGCAAAAAGATTTACTTACTGTTTAATTGCAGTATTTTTGTAAGCATTTATCTTGTTTATAGTAAAACCAGCATCATACTTGTGGTTTTACTTTAAAAGTCTTTATTGTCCACCTCTAACTGGGAGTTTGTTTAGCTTATGTGGAGTGAAAAATGGAGTTTGGATTTAATCCCCTGATTGAGGCATGAACAAGGTCTTAGAGTATTCACTGGATGTTAAATTAGAGCCCCAGATTCTAAAATCTCAGAACAAATCGGACCAAAACCGAAAACCAGTAAACAGTTTGTAGGACTCACCGTCAGAAAATTCAGGCCTGTTGTCTTAATCTCCTTTCTGTCTGAGACATCTTAGCCAAGGAGTGTGGTTTCTTAAATGAAGAAAATTTAAGTGGTTGCCTCCTGCTCAACGTTCAGGACTGCACGCTGTCATCTCACATTTACAATGGAAGGTTTCTCTTTACAACTGTGGGATAACAACTTAATTCTCTTTAAATAATGGAGTTGTTACACCCTGGTATCTTTTAATAGGAAATAGTTTTTGGGTGCTAGTGTAATGAAAGCATTTTCTATATAAAGCCTCTGATATTCCACAGTGCCAGCATCTGTGTTACATATTTGATTTGATGCTTGGACTCTGGTAGATTCAGTTATTCTTCACATAACGCTGCAAATATATTCATTTTCTAATTATACGAATTAAAAGAAAAAAGAAAGAAACTCTTCACATTTAGAAAGAGAAGAAATGTTTGCTGTTTTTGATTTAATTAAGTCTCGCTGACAATAACTGTTGATTAAATTCTTGTGAGATAGTCTTTCTCATTTCACCACTAACTTTCTGACTATTAGTTTCACTTTTTTAAACTTTCATAAACTGAACTAAAATCTAAAGTAGCTACAAACCTTCCTATAAAGAGATGATAACACTTATATAATGTTGTACAGCGTTTTACTTCGTTTTTAAGCATTTAAACGTTTCATTGTTGCAGGGGGATAATCTCTTTTACAACTTCATACAAAGAGAGCTAAAAAAAGAAAGTAGTCACAGAGATTTCTCAGCAATCTTATGCTAAACTTCTCGCTACAACATTCACCCCAACCCTTGACCTTTGACTTTTCTGCTGAGACAATGTAGTTAACAGGCCCAGTGACACCATAGTACTCGAAACTGCTTCACCTCTAGCTTGTCATTCTGTCCTTTTCTGATTCATCATGTTGCGAGAGTAAGCTCTGTTTAAATTCCTCTAGGCCATTGAAACCTACAGTATCAACCCCGAGTGAGTGATGTGTTGAAGCAGCTGTCTCAGATATGTGACATGTGGTTAATCATCTGCGGAACGATCTGTGCTTCTTTCAGCGGTGATTGAAAGGGTGGTGCTGAAAGGAGTTCCTCACAAGCCTGAAGACTCCAGCGAGTATAGTTTTGAGGTGGGTACCTTATAAATATGAGTACATGCCGGCATGTATTGTTTGACTCCTAACTTTTTTAGACTTTCTTTAAATATTTTCCCCCCTCATTTCCCTACTCCTTCACTGCCTTCTTCCCATTCCTTTCCTCTCCTCCTCCAGGTTAGCTGGACCAATGGGTTGGTAGTATCTGTTGTAAGAACTCAGCAGGAGGTAGCAGAGCTGCTGACTCAGGTCAGGACCAACATTTCAACACACGAATGAAAATGAGCCCGAGTTACATTCAGGCACTTTTTATTGCACAGTAAAACTAATATGTGTCTCAAAGTGAGTAGGAGATAGAGCTGCTTTGTTTGAAATCAAATCAAATCAAATCGATCATTACACGATTGGTGTAATTCTAGATTTTATGGTAAAAATTTTTTATGTTTTCTCATAAAACATGATAAATATCGTATTTTATCATTACAAATCTTTTTGTGATGTTTTTGTGTTTTTGAGGTGCACATTAAACCTTATGAGCCTGACCTTTTCCAACTGTGCCTATAAATTAAGAAATCATCAGCTGCGATTGAACAGTCAGGCATTGCTTGGTATCATCAGCATAGCAGTGTAATGACACAAAGAGCTCTATTTACTTTTTTTTTATAAAAAAAAAAATGTTTCTCACTTAGCTGTCACGAGCATTTCCTGATGGAGTGGAGAAGTTCCCGCCTCAGTCCATGGAACTGGATCCCAGGTTAGTCCCAGAACCCCCATCCTTTTGAGGTGGTGTTTTGTTTGTTTCAGGCCGTGTCCACACTAACACATTTTCGTTTGAACACCATTTTCGCGTCACAGTGTAGACTGTGTAAACGGAGGCTTTCGGAAACAGTGATGCATTTTAGTCATATGATGCAGTCATGTGACCAATCAAACAAAGATAGCGGAAGGCATTATACAACAGTTGTTTTGTTTGCTCTCAGTTTTGACAGCCCTATTAAAGATTAATATCAGTCTGTACATGCTCCAGATAGCTTTTCTTCAAATTCTTTAATTCTCACTCGCTTTTGCAACTTTGTACTTGCAAAGTTACTCGCAGCAACAACTCCACCTCATTGTCAGTCCATTTAAAGAACTCGTCTTACGTTTCACGCATGCACAATACAGGAACGTAAGCGTTTTCAGTCGTGTCAGTGTGGATGAAAAACTGTTCGAAAACAATAGTAAATGGCCTGTATTTATATAGCGCTTTACTAGTCCCTAAGGACCCCAAAGCGCTTTACATATCCAGTCATCCACCCATTCACGCACACATTCACACACTGGTGATGGCAAGCTACATTGTAGCCACAGCCACCCTGGGGCGCACTGACAGAGGCGAGGCTGCTGGACACTGGCGCCACCGGGCCCTCTGACCACCACCAGTAGGCAACGGGTGAAGTGTCTTGCCCAAGGACACAACGACCGAGACTGTCCGAGCCGGGGCTCGAACCGGCAACCTTCCGATTACAAGGCGAACTCCCAACTCTTGAGCCACGATCGCCCCACGATAGTGTGGATGCGGAGCGTTTTTAGACAAGAACGCCGTTTTCAAATTTATCAGGATTAGTGTAGACGTAGCCTCAGCTTACAGTCTGTGAGAAAAAGTGTGATAATTCATATCAGCTTCAGAAGTTACAGTGAGAAATTTCACACTTTAGTGTAATCCAGCTGTTTAAAAGACCTTCAGAAGCCTGGAGAGCTATTGCCCAAGACTGCTTAAAATACAATTACAAGAAAGCTTGGCTCCTTGGAAGCAAGATATAAAGAAATGAGGGTTAGCTTAAAACTTTTGCACAGTATCTTACTTTGGTTAGCAAAGCTACTCGTGTTAAATTAACCTTAATGTTATTAGAAGTACTCTTACAGTATAATCTATCACTATGCTAGCCTAAACAAGTCTTGTGTGAAGCATTGCTATGTAAACTCTAGTTTTCCCAATTCACATAAAATACTGACAGCACTTCAGGATGTTCACTTATTGTCTATTAACAATATGTTAACGTCTAAACATATCAACTTGAAATCCTTGTACAGATCCAAATGTTTTGCATTCTGGCTTTTTATTGTCTACAAAAACATAAACAATCTCCTGACATGGCTCAGTGCCTTTTTAAAACTCAGTCTATTGTTGCACCTGCGCTTGAAAGGCCCATCAAGTTATAAAGTTTTGTCCTCTGCTTGTTCTTCGTCTCACTCTTTCCTGGCAAAACTGCTTTAAAGGCACCCTGTGGCTTTTTCTTATAAACAGACCAGAGATACGTTTAGATTAGAAATGTTAGGTCTGTCTGTACAAATATAGATTTTATGTTAAAGTTTCTTCCTATTGCAGTTAGATATATGCGTTTGTTTAAATCTGACAGCAGAGCATCTATTCCTTTAGTTTTTAATCTACTTCCCACTTCATTTCCTTTTCTTTCTGTTGTCCCACTCAGGTGTCTAACAGCCCTGCCCTGCCATGTCCTCCAGCACCAAAGTGTCCAGCTGTTCTTTACCTCCACCAGGCCTCTCTCACCCAACTGTCCCTCCTCACCCCTCTCCTCCCCACTTGCATCCTCACTACCAACCTCTCCTATAGCTCCATCCTGCCCGTTCACCTCCAGCTCCAGTAAGTCATTATTTCATTGCAAAAAAATTATAGCAAGCAACAGAGATATAAAGGAGGAGACATTCTTATTCATAGACGATGATGAAAGATCAAAGGCAAGAACAGCAAGATAAAAGATATTATGCCTGTGTTCGGTTTTTGGGGATGAGAAAGGAATGAGAGGTAATGGAAAGGACAAGGCTGCAAGTCTGAGCCCTGGTTGGTTGTAGTGAGGAGGTGAGACTGCAGGCAGGATTTTCAGTGTGTGTCTCTGAGGTGTTGGAGGGCGCGGACGCAGTCTATTTTAGTCCGGTGTGGGAATTCAGCATGGCATGTTTGTGTTGGGAAGCCTAGAGTGTGGTGACCTCATGTTGCTGTGTGTGTGAGTGCTCGATCTATTAGTGTGACTTCATCCCAGAGGGTATTTATAGCCACCAGTGCAGTGTGTTTCTATGTGTGGTTGTACTTTGTGCATGTGTTTATTCCTCTGTGAGTGGGTATCAGACTCACAGGAGAAGCAAGGCTAAAATGAATGTGTCCGGTTTTGCTCCACAAACACACCCATCAGTGAATTCTGCATAGACTGCAACAGTTGGAATTAGCTATAAGGACATGTTTTCACAGCATTTCTAACATTTTGCCTACAGATATATATATTTAGTCCATTCAGGTGCAATCAGAAATGTACCTACACTCGTCATGGGCATGAATGTTACGGCTTTTAATGATTCCTTTGAACTGTTCTGCTATGGTGGGATGATTGTACAGCATACATCTTTTAAAAAACTGTTTGAATTTATTCTGGATTTTTCTCTAATACACAGGCTCAAATATATACATACACTTGTATTTGCTTAAATATCCTTTGTCAAGTTGCACCTTGACCTTTGGTAGTCATCAGCAAGCTTCTGGTATTATTCTGGCTGGACATTTGAATATTTTCTTGGTAGAATTGGTTTGAGAGGTTTGATGTTCACCTGCTTGATCCATTCCAAAACCAGTCTCGGTGAGTGTTTGGGATTAGTGTCCTATTCGAACACCCACTTGTGTCCAAATTGCAGTTGTTTTGCTGTTGAGAATTTGGAGGAGGCGCTCCATTATTCCATCCACTTTGTCCCAGTGTCACTGGCAAAACAGCCTCATAGCATGATGCTACCACCGCCATGCTTTTAAATAATGTTCTTAGGTTTATAAGTCTTACTTTTACTCCTTTAAACATACTTCATCATTGTGAGATTTGCCATTTTTTTTTACTAAATTCAGTGAGTCATTTTAACTCAGCTTTATCATTATGGCTGTTTGTGCATATAATACTGATTGTTCTCATCGTTCTCTAATTTTATTTTATTTTATTGACCTGCATATCCGCTAGCTCTTATTTAAGATATTTGTTGTATCTTATGCTTAATATTTTTTCTGCTGTAACAAGTGAATATAACTATTTTGGGATAAATAAAATAAATCTTATATATTTACTACTTAAATGTTCGCCCAGTTGACTGACATTTCAGATTTTTGTGGACTGTTAGCCTCGTGTTGTGTGACTATCGCCTGATGGTGATGATGGTTTTTATTGTGAATCTGTTGCACAGATCTTGGCTGTATGATGCAGTACAAAGGAGGTAACAGGTACGAGTTTTGCCCCTCTTTGACCTCGCTGCATTAAAACACATCTACATGTACAGTCTTAGAAGTGCACTTGTACCAACGTCGCTCATTGGCTCTTGCTGTCTCTCAGGGTGGTGTACAGAGTGGCCAGCGTCCAGCCCGTCATCAGCACCCACAACTCCATCTTAACTCGCTCCACTCCTCACTTGTCCTCCCTTTCCTCCCCTCCTCTTCCGACTCCGGCTCTCCTACCTTCCATTCCTCCTCCCCAGCACTCCCCACAGCTCTCCTCTCTCCCTCCCCCCGTGCCAGCCCTGCCAGCACGTGGCTCTGCAGGAAGCGGTGGCGACAGCTCCTCCCAACCTCATCCTCAGCATGGTCAGCTTCATTTATACCCACAGCCCTCCCAGCACCACCTTCATGCACAAACCAGCAGCCAGCCCAGTACGCAGCCTCAGACTCTGCACCTGTCCCATTCCCAACCATCGTCCCATTCACATTCACAGTCCCGCTCCCAGTCCCATAATCAATCGCTCTCCCAGTCTCAGCCTAATACGCCAGAGCAGAATGGCATCCTGGACTGGCTCCGCAGGCTCCGCCTCCATAAGTATTACCCCGTCTTCAAACAGCTCACCATGGAGGAGGTGGGTACATCTTTAGATTACATCACGTTGTGTGTATAAAACGTTGTACTCCTGTGCATGTATAATGTATTTGCATATTTCTTGATCAACATTTTGATTCTTTGAAAGCTTCTGAATTTGTTCCTCTGTATAAATTGCAGTTTTTAGCTCTGACAGAGGAGGACCTGAACAAGTACGACCTCACCCAAGGAGCAAAGAAGAAACTGAAGACCCAACTAGAACTCCAAAAGTCTGCAGAGTAAGGGCAGATAACAAAAATTCCGTTTTTCTGTCTTTAAAAAAAAAAAAAAAAAAAGAAAATATTTGAGAAGTCACTCAGATTTGTCACAAACTTGTCTCTCTACCATCTCCAATATTAGTATACAGACCGAAGTTGGTTTATGTGCTTGTGGCACTGATAGTTTTGATTCTGCAGTTCAGTTGTTTTCCAAAATCACCTCTTTGACTTGACTGATGCCTTACCCTGTTTAACAACTGGCAAACAGACTGACCCGCTGCTGCTCTCCCTGGTAAACATCCTGCACCAATGGTCCATACAGCATCAATGGTTAACCAGCTGAGGATGGGCCGGAGAGATAAGATGTGTTTTACGTGCAGAAGCACAAAAACACAGGCTCTGATTTAAGTACACAAGCATCTGAACTTGCGCACCCCGGATGCACACGCACACCTGAGCGTGAACTTGTTTTCTCTCAGCTGTGTTTCCATTCCCAGAATCAACAGGTTCCCATTAGGCAGGCGATTTGTGTATTTGCGTGTGTACGTGCTTGAACAAGACTCAGAAAATGGAAAAGTTCCTGTGGTGATTTTCCAAAGAGATAGTTGTGTTTGTAGAGGTGCAGCTGAGACCCGAGGAGCACGTTAAGTGGGTAATGTCTCCCCCATGTGGTCAGTAAAAGACACTAGTTGTTTTTGTAGCACAGAAATTGCCTGCAGTTCAGCTGGGCACAGCAGGGGGCGCTTGTGAGATAGTCCTTAATAAATAGGAGTGAATGAAGATCTATGATTAAAATAAGTGCACCTGCTTCTAGACAAAAATATTCAGCTTTTATTTTTGTTTTGTCGAATAGAGCACAGATAACAGAATTTAAGCTGGAGTCCTTTATATTTTCTTTCAGTGAAGCTTAGTTAAACAACAGCTGAAACTTGTGTGTAAGAAGCAGCTAGCTGGGCTATCAGGAAGTTGCTGCTCTCAACTGTTCATGGCTGAAATACCGATTCAAGATGCACACAAGTGGCTCAAGTTGCTAGGATGTCCCTAATGCTCACAGAGAGAATATTACATTTTTGGTGTGGGAACATGATGGAAAGAATTTCTGGTCAAAAAGAGCTATCTAAAAGAAGTACACATGGGAAGCTGCATGTTTCCTTTGTTTAAGGATCTCAGAAAATACTTCACATAGTCCACTTATGATGGCACAGAGCCAATGAGTCAGTCGGCTTTAGGTCTCGACCTCTCTGCACATGGCTGCTGGTTTCCTCAACTGAGTCTTGTTAGACTGTTACCGCCTGGGTGTCTAGTTAGCCACCGTATGTGTCTGTTTCATTGACCTTTAATAAACACAGTATAGTACATACTTATCTTAAGCATTCGCTACACTTGATAAAGACTGTGTTTCTGACTCGAATGCTTGCGTGTTCCCAGCAGGGAGATGAAGATGGAGAAGCGGCCGTGCAGTGGCATTGCCAGGGTGATGCCTTCCAGTCACATGGTACCCTCAGCTCACTCCACCTCCAGTGCAGGTAAGAGAGCAGGGTTGTTTCCAAGTATGGCCAAATCACTCTCAGGCTTCAGATTGCTTTAAATGTTTCCCTTTTGCGTCTTTATGATGTCGTAGTGAGGGAGTGTAATAATATGGTCATCACGAGCTGCCGACCTGCTCTTCTCTCCAAGAAAATTTGGTTTCAAATTCAAATCGGTTTCATAAACGTGCTCCAGAACTATGAGGTTCCATTAGACATGTACTAGATATAGATAATGAAGCAGACTCACTTCACTGGACCCAGGAAGGATTACAACAGTTCAGAACTGAACTGTATTCAAATGTTTTGCAGGAGAACTGCGAGTGGAGGTGGACGCCGTGCCGCACCACCACCCTGTCTCCACAGACAGCAGCTCGTCCTCGGGCTACTCCAGCTCTTCCTGCTCCCCTCGCACCCCACACAGTTGCGACTCCACCTTTGACAGGACCAGAGACATTCACAGACGTACGTTTTTATCTCACGACTGCAGAATTAATTCAAACCGCGTCAGCACGATTTACGAAGAACAATTCTTAAAGTCTAGATTGACGTTAAGGAGAAGCAGGTCAACAAAATTAGAAATAGAAGTTTGTTAAAACGATAAGATCAATGACGCAAAACTAGAGACTTTTGCTTTTTCCATACCGTTTATATCCAAATATATATGCAAATGTTATATAAACACAAATCTCTTTCAGGTGTGTTGGCTCCAGATACAGCAGGAATTGGTCCAGAGAAGGATCGGCCCTGCATGTTCATTCTGAACTCGACAGGCTCCAGTCGCCCCACAGCCCAGGTTCTGCCCGTCCAAACCGATCCAGCTCCTCCTCTTCCTCCCACATGCTCCTCCCACCTCCCCTTCGGCCTCCCGCAGTCTGCTTATCACCCACAGGGCGGTTACCCACAGACGCTGCTCTCCCCGGTCTCAAACCCAGCACGCATCCTCACCTCCCCTCGCAAGCCCAGGCCCCCTCCGCTGGCCACAGAGGACCGGACTAAGCCGTTGGGCTCGAGCCTTCCTGTGGCCGGTGCAAGCTTCAGTTCAGGGCTCGGGGTGGGGGCTGGGGTGGGGGTAAGACGGGAAAACCTGTTCTCCAGGGTCAACATGGATGGCTCATCTGGACTCCAGGACTCTGTGGTTTGTCGTGGTCTTGCGGGAGGTGGTGTTAGTCTGATGGTAGAAACCAGCTGCGCTCTGACCTCCACCTCCAACAGCCACCACCACGTTTCCCACCCCCCTGTCCACTTCCACCTCTCATCCTCTTCCTCCCCTTCTCCATCTGGATTTTACTCTTACCCCCCTGTATCCTCATCCTCCTTCGCGTCTTTCTCCGCTTCCTCCTCCTGCACCTCCTCAAAATCCGCCTCTCAGACTGGCAGCTCCAGTGGTGGAGGTAGCTATGTTCCCATGGCAACAGCAAGCACAGTTCCTGTGGCTGCAGTCCCGGGCAACACTTACTACCCACCCCAGCATACCTCCAGCCCCTCTCCTTCGCCCTCCTCTGCTTCTTCATTGGATCAAAGTTCTGGTCACAGTCCTTCCGTATGTGTTTGCAGTTCTTGCGGTTGTCGAGGGAACTGCGGCGCCTACGGGGCATTCCCTGGATACGCCGCAGCCAGCTACCTGCAGCCGTTCTCAGCCGGGCCCTCACTCTTCACCCTGGGTCCTCTGCTCCATCTCAGCCCCCTGATAGCGTCGTCTAGCAACGCTGGCACAGGCGCTGCACCATTCTCCTACCCAATGATGGTACCGCCGCCCCTCTACCGCCACAGCCCGCTGTCACATGACCAGCAGCAGGGGTTCAGCTTTTACCAGCCCCATGGCATCATGGGAAACGGTGGGCAAAAAAGGGCAGCTGGGAACCTGTCATGTTATAACTGCGGTGCCCACGGACACAGAGCCGAGGACTGCAAACAGCCACCCATGGATGCGACACAGCAAGGTGAGTCAGTGAGTACGGAGTGTGAAAAATACCATATTTAAGGTGTGATATACATTTATAAATGCAATTGGCTTTAAGGACAGTACATTTGAGAATATAATAACTGATATTTCTACTTCATTTTGTATTTAAATATAAAATGTTTGTTTCTAACAAATTTTACTTCAGTTTTCAGTCGTTTTCTTCACACGATTTAGTTTGCAAACTGTGCCCAAATGCACAAAAGTATAACAATTATGCAGGAATTAAAATGGTGAATTTGTAAGATGAATTATAGGTATTACAAAATTTAATTTGAATGTGTAATTGGATTAACTGAAATGATGATGTGTAATATACAAAAGTAAAACTTGACCTGTTTAGTGAGATGGAGTTCTTTATTTCAGTATAATTTAATATTTCAAAACAGATTTTGATGTTACTCAAAATTAAAATCTGTTTTGAATAAATTTCTCATTCATTACTTAAAATTTTAAGAGTCTAAAAACATATTTGTGACTTCATTTACATATTTTACCCACTTCCTTCATAATGTCATGTGTCAGTTATATAATTTTGAACCCTTTGGGATGCCATAGATTGGGACATCTCCAAGGCATCACTTTAACAACTCTGCTGTGTTTCTCAGGGACATTTCGCTTGAAGTACACACCTCACTCTGACAGCAAGGACTCAGGAGACTAAGCAGCAGAGGCGGCTTTGGATTTGAACTCCAGACTAAACTGTACCTCATGGTCCTGCTGAAGCCAACAAAAAAACCCCAAAAGGGACAGGAGACAAACAGCCTGCTCCTTTAGTGCAGAGGGTTCACTGTTAGTCTGTTCAAAGACTGCTGAGTTGAATCATTGGTATTCGTTCTTTCTTTCTTTTCTTTTCTTTCTTTTTTAAGCCAAAGCTTGCAAAGAGATTAGAGGAGGAGGAAGAAGATTTTAGGCACAAGTAAAAGTGGACATTTATAAACTCTACCATGCTTGATCTCAGAGATGTAGCTCAAAGTCTTCCTCAGAGAAAACACTACAGACCGACAATCAGTCACATGATCTGAAAAGAAGCTTCCCAGTCAAATGATGGGGCATTCACCATGACAACCACAGCACTCCAGATGTGGTCTTCCAGAATACGCAGCCTCTTGCTCTAATCAAGTACCAGTGCTATCCCTCCTTTCACAGGATCTACTGGTGCACAACATCTCACAGTACCACAGCTAATCGTTTGAGTGTTGGCTCGTTGCTTCTCATGGTTGGCATGTCCACACAAAGATTCCACTTTAATCTACTATTTCTAAAACTGGCACTGTATGTTCAGGTGGTCGAAAGTTCCAAAGTTAATCCTGACCAAATCCTGAGTCACAGTATTCACATATTCACCTGGTTTTAAGCTCTGTTTGATTTCAAAACAGCCTCAATCTACCAGTTACATATTCAGAGGTTTATTCATTTGCTTTGCTTCTGGTTATCAACAAGCAGGAGTCAAATGTCTGGTTTGGTGCTTTACATCTCGTGCACCAGCCTTTATACAGGTGTGCACAGAGCTGTTGGCCACATTTAAACAGGAACACCGTATTTAAATGTGCTAACAGTTGAATGAATGAATTCTAACTGTCACACAGACTGCATGAACTGGAAACCACCTTCAGCAACTGGAGATCTAAGAGGAAAACTGGTGTCTGTTGTGCATCTTCAGCCCGAGTCTGTATGTAAAGATGGAAAATCTGATGGTTGATGTAATGTGCAACCAAAGTAACAACCAGGGGATGAACATGTGGTATTGAGTGCATGCCTTTTTCTCAGCACTGCTGGCTAAACATTATCACACAGCACTTCATCCAAGACTACCAAAATAGTTTCTTTGAAGCGTATTGTATCATGGTGATGTTTGAGTGTTCATTTTTCCATTTGCTCAGTTTGTTTTGATTTTTTAATTAGTTTCTGAGCCACCTGTTGGCCACTGTTCAGGAAATGTACACAGGAACTTTCTGCACGAATCTTCTAACACATCTTGAGGGACTTTGGCATTTTTTTCAGGAAGTTAAGTTTGTGTTAAATGGGTGATCCGAATGCTATAGCTGGTAAGCAAAGGACCCAACCAGTGTAGAAGACGGGCAGTTCAGATTCTGCTGCAGTAAAGTTGCACAATGGAGGTGGTGGTTGCTGGGCTACGTCAGAGCAGATCTAGAGGGAACAGCTTCACTTCCTGCAAACCCAGGGGAGCTAAATAGGTAAAATAATTATTTTCACCTGCTTCTATACAAAGAACAACATGCTTTATTTTAGTTTTCACAAATGCAGCATTAATAATAAGCCTGATTGAAGTAAACTGCCAGTTATGTCCTCTAGTTTTTTGTTTGTTTGTTTTTTACAACGCTGTTGTTTTTACCCATAAAATGCTAGCACTCTGCTAATGCATGCTGATTGGTTGACTGAGGACTCTCCTAAAAGAAAGTGTTGCTAAATAACTTCTTCTCCACTGCTGGCTTGCCTTAAATCAAAATGATGGACGCCAAAAAGTGTCTCAAAGTGCCGAGACCTTCCTAATGGGGAGAAAGGGATTTTACTAATAATTAAACCCATATATACAAAACAGAAAATGGAACGATATCTAAGGTTTCAAACTGTTTTATGAAAAACATGGTGGAAACATGTTTACCCCTCATATGTAACATTTTTGGGTCTGTAGGCTGCTGTGAATTCTGGACTGCCTGGAAAGCATCTTCTTTCTTCTGGTTGCTTGATGTTTAAGAGCACTGTGCTTAGACCTCAATACCATGTCTCCACCCTTGATGGGTACTGCACAGACTCTGGTTGCAGATAACATCACCATCACTCAAATTCCATGTTAGTTGGGCTTTTATGCAGTGGCATGCATTGGGGACCTGTCAGCCATTTTTATTCACTTCTTGGCGATCTGCAGCCTTTCTACCTCTGAGCATGCCAGAGGGCGAAATGACCCTCTGTGCACAAATACAGCAACGACAATCAGAAAATATCATGTGGTTTACATCAGGACGAACATTCAAAGTGCCAATTTTCTCTTTTCATAATTGTGGTGTAAGCGGGAGTTGTTCTTTTGTACTTTGTTTGTACAGGTCTAAGTATGTCGAGCATGTTGGAATTTTAAGAAAGCAATAGGAAGTGCTTCTGTGTTTGGGTCTTTGACCCGGTGGGGTTGGGCGGGTGGGAAGCTGCTGAGCTGGACCCAGAGCTGCACAGACACAAGGACAGCTGGTCCTTCAGATGAAACTCTCTTTGTACCCCTGGAGGGCACAGCACAGGGATGTGTGGGGTGTTTATTTAAAATAAGAAATCCGAACATTAAGTATGTACGCGTTTGTTTGAGGTATCGGCAATTCGCTTTCATAATGTAAAATAAATTGTTCTGTGTTTTATTCCATTAGTTACATAGATGAGGGAAATTTCTTTATATTGCTAGTTTATCCTGTCATTGTTTTATATAGATTATACCAAAGAACAGAGATGGTTTGTAGACAGAAAAAGTTCCACTTTTGTAGGTTTTACTTACTCTTTAAGGATGTTGGTAACTTGATGCATGCATGTTCCAAAATCTTTGTTTAAATATGCTTTTAAAATATTTGTGTGTTTTGAAAGTTTGGACTTAATTACCCAGGTCTTTGTTGGTAAGATTTTTTTATGGCTTAAAATTAAATAATTTTGGATTCTCCCTTTTATCACAGTGCCTGTGTGGCTTATTTATTATGGGACCGGCTGCTCCGAGAATCCTTAAAAGGTTGAAAGTGAATGTTTATGTACAATATAATGTGTAAAAAAACAAACAAAAGACGGAGCCTCAAGCTGAAAGTTTTTGTTGCCGTCATTTTAGCTTTTCGAAACATGACGATGACACAGTGGACACGCTCCACGGTAACTGGCTAAGCGACTGTCAAAGACATGCATCAGCATTTATATGCAGTCAAAGGTATGAGTCACTTTCACATCTTTTTCCATTGTCCTCTGAATATCTGCACTGGCTGTTTTTTGTTTGTTTGGGGTTTTTTTTCCTTTGGCAGTATTTAGTATTGTCTGTTCCTTGTTTTAGCAGGAAGTACAAAATCTTGTTTTTCTAGTTATTTGAAGGATTTACCTAAGCTGAATAGCATGCTGTCTAACCAGATCCTAACTCTTCACTACTTCAGTAACACTGAGGAACATTGGGAGCCAGTTTTGACCAGAATATGTCCTTCAAGGCACATATTATACAAATATGCAGGACTGCTTTCTTCCATTTGTGGAATATCTGTAAAAATTGGAAACATCCCGTCTCAGAGTGATGCTGAAAAGCTAGTTTATGCAGTTATTACTTCTAGGCTGAATTACTTTTATGCAGTTATTATCAGGATGTCCTAAAAACTCCCTGAAAGGCCTTCAGTTGATCCAAAATGCTGCAGCAAGAGTACTGACAGGGGCTAGAAAGAGAGGGCATACTTCTTCATTGGCTCCCCGTTAAATCCAAAATCAAATATAAAATGCCTCTCTTAAATAATCAGGCCCCATCTTATCTCGTAATATTGTATCACTATATTAGGGCACTTTACTCTAAGGCTTTAGGCTTATTTGTGGTTCCTATTTGTGGTATTTAAAAGTAGAATTCTCTAAGCTGCCTAACATTTGGCATTTTTGCTGTTACTGCTATGATCCTGTCTGCTCTGGTTCAATCTAATTGATTTTCAGTGTAAAGAACTCAGAGGGTTGCCCTTCAGCACTAAAACAAGCAACAGACAAGGTGATTAGTCAGTCGGGCAATCACGTATTTTATGTGCATCTTTTATACAAATAGGTGATCAGCTGTTGGACATGTAAGCATAGACGTCATTATATGGCATTCTATTGTTTAAACTACAGCATCACCTTTTAATGCTGTCTTTTCACATATGTAGCAGTAATGAAGTCAATTTAGGGTTTAATGGTCAGGAAAACAAAACAAAACACAGGAACCTTTTTTTCCCTCCTTTTATTGTTTACAAAATACCAACATAAATACATAAAGGAGGCTGTGTGATATTGCTGTATGTGGATGTGTGTGAAACAGAGGAGCAGGCGGAAAGGACAATGCACACACCCACACACACAAATGCTCCACCCCTCTGTTACAAACACACAGTAGCTTAAACTATTTGTACTGCAGACAGCGAATAGTCGCAACACATCGTACAGTCAAAAAAAACAAAGCCTATTAAATAAAGGAACCAAAAAGATAAAAATACTGTGATATAAAGCAGCTAAAACTCAAATCTGTGAAAGAGTGCCGCCCTTTAAAAACCTACTGGGCAGGTGTAAATTCCTAAATTCCCCTGCAGTGACAGTGCTTGTTGTAATTCAGTGAAGTGAAACTGAACAGCAGTGACAGCTCTGGGAAAAATCAGCCCTGTGGGTTAAAGGGAAAAAAAAACCAAATCCACAGCCAGACACGATGTTCGTGAACCTGCCTGTGTTTTGCTCTCTCCAATCATCGTTTCTGCAAAAAAAAATAAAAAAAAATATGAATTTAAAAAAAAAAAAAGGATGAGGACATGGCAAACTCCTCCCCTGTTCTGCATTTTTTTTTCCTTCCAGCAACACCATCAATCCTCCAGTCACTCGTGCAATCAGACCACGCTCCTTATAGTGTGTCCAAAAATCAACTTGGTTACACTCACATCGGAACCCCTTTTATATTCAAAGTCAACAATATCTGTACACCAACAAACGAGGCATCTTTTTTTTTTTTTTCTCTTTTCGGTGGACTACAATCATCTGTTTCAAGAGCAAAGCAGTTTCCTAACATCATACAGCGAGGATGCTTCAGACTACAAAATGCAGCAAGGTGTAAAAACGGCAAAGAAGGAAGACCGTGAAGGGAATGTGACGACACGTGACGCTTAAGGATCTTCTCTTCTTAATTTTCAAATCTCTCTGGCAAAAGAAATCCCCAAGCTTTATCTTCTAACTGCAACAGAAGGCTGGCTTTGTTCATTGTCTAATGTATATATAGAGACACAGATAAGTGGTGAGCCTCACCACCTTTTTATGTAACATCACTACCTGAAATTTATATATACATTAACATAAATACAGCCTAGGAGACGTTTAGCCACAACACTGGAAACTGAAAATGCCATCAACATGTAAATGCCAGAGGACAGGATTTATCCAGAGAGGAAAGACTCTTATTGGCCTGAGTCGGTTACATTTTAGGTGGGGATCTCTCTACCTAAACTCTGCTGTTTCTGGTCACCCCTTGCGGCTTTATGCTACAGGCTGAGAGTGGCGGCACACAGACAAATAACCAGGACCAAAATGAGCTGACAGACGATCAGATGCTGTGTTTAGATTTAGCAGTTTGTGTCTGTGTTTTAGTTCTTACAGTTAATACTCAAAAGAATGTGACAAGAGACATGAAAGGGGGGACGGGGAAACTAAAAACTACAACTGTCCAGTCGCCGGGTCCAGTGGAAGAAGAAACTGAGGGATGAAGGAAGGTTGTTCACTGGGCAGTCGTGGCAGCGCCGAAGGTTTCCTGGGAGGCGTATACCATGTAGAGGAAGCCATCTTGGTCGCGCTCTCGCTCGTACACCTCAGAGATGGCGGCCGACACAGACACCATACTGTGACCGTTAACCAGCAGGAAGAAAGCCTGGTTGGAGTTTAGCTGGAGGCGCCTCCTGGTGGGGAATGAAAGACATGACAAGAGTGAGAAAAAGGGGAGACATTAGAAGAAAGTGAGAGGGAAAAAATATCCTAAGTATAAACTATGGATAGGAGAGGAATAAAATCAAGAAGTGGAAAAGAACTTGTGAAAGGAAATGAAAGAAGGGGAAGGAGAGTGAATAAAATATGAGATTGAAAGAAAGAAAGAAAAGGAAACGTATGGGAAAAAATATGGCATCCATCTATTTATCCCTTCCTCCCTCAATCCATCCATCCATCCATCCATATGTTTGCTAGCTCAGAAAAGTGCAACAAAGGTTTGGTATATTGAGGTCATTAAAAATACAGAACATGGAATGAGTAAGTAAGAAGAATATATATGCAAATATGTTTTGTATGTAACAAATATGCAAAACAGATGAAAGAAAGAAGAAAGGAAATTTGATGCCAGGAAAAGGGATGAAGATGTTTTTAAAAAAAAAAAGGAAAAGGGAAAGCCAAAGAAAGAGGAGATGAAAGGAAATTAAAAGAAGTGAAAGTGAAGGAAAAGACAGACAAAAGAGGAGTTGGAGACATTTAAGAAAAGCAAACAAAACTGAAGAGGAGAAAATGATGAATGTAAAGGAGAGATGGTGAGGAGGGGAGAAGAGGTCAGCGTCTACCTGATGATCTTGATGAGTTCACTCATGTTGACATGGTCTGGCACCAGGAACTTGGTCTTGTCCAGTACGGGGAGCTGCTTTTCTCCTTTATATCTCTCAATGATCACCTGCAGGAGGCAAAAACTTTATCAGCAATTCATTTCTCCTCTTTTTCTTCTTTTAGCTGGTCAGCTTCCATGAATGGTGCATTTCCTGTGCCCTTTGTGTGTCTGAGACCAGTGAGATGTAATAAGGAAGCTTGAGCTGCCAATATCAGATGGAGAGGTTAAATAAAAGAACACAGCTCTCTGCCTCACAGTCGGGTCCCTGTAAATCTAAATCCACATCTACTAGATCAAGATTTGCGTTAGACTTGAAAGGGAATGCCATTGTTTTACTAAGATATGTAAGATGGGTTTCAAACCCACAGGATTAGACTCCACTTCAGAAAGAATCACAATCAGACTCTGTATTAAAGGCTGGCAAAACCCAATTTAACTCACAGTGATGTGCTGATTAAACAAAGGCTGTCAGCCTCTACTTAACGCTCTGAAGCGGCCTATAAGTTCAACGAATCAAAGCTTCTCTTAACAAAAAACAACCAATCACTGTCACTCAGGCCGCACTCACAATCTTAGTTTCCGATCACATGTTTTGTCTTAATTAGCTGTTTTAACTGATGGAGCGCAACTACAAGGGAAAACAAGAATGCAAATCCAGCCCAGTTTGGGTGACAATGATGATGAATGACTGGGTAGCTGTGGAGAACTAATATAGCAGTGGGGTTGTGTTTTTTTAGCACAACTTTCCTCGTTTGTTACGCAAATATTTAAGACACTTCTCTGTGTTTAACGTGTCTTATTCAAAATGTAGACACTGTTCTTTCTTTCTTTTTTTAGAGCCTGCCTAGCAGCAGGCATTACTCCCTCTTTCCACTTTAGGAAAGCTGCTAATTCTAACATGTCTCACTGTGAGCAGAACACAAACAATGTTCTGTTGTCGGCTGCAGGAGTGAACAAGATGTTTCATGCACTCGCGTTTCAGGAAATGAAAAACCAATATTATGGTTTTATTGTGTGTTATTGTTCAGTGTTGCTTAAATGTACCGAGGCAACACCGCACTGTCTGATGGTACATGGTTTCTAATCTTCTTGTGTCCTTTGTTGGATTCTGATTGAAACCTGGTTGAACTTCTGGTTTTTGTTACAAACCAACAGCTCTTACGAGGTTAAGGCTATACTAGAGCTTATATAGTTAAGGTTATAGTACATAACCAACTTTGCCATATTTCTCCTGGGTCAGCTAACCAATCAGAGCGAATGTATTTGCGAAGGAAAACCCTTCAAAAAGTTATGGCATTTTGTAATGATCACATTGGTACTAATGAAGCCATGCACCACAGCACTGAAGGTTTGTAGACTCTACCCCGCGGAGGCCCCTGTGACAACGCAAACATCTGATGAACTGCGACCTGACGTTACACAACATTAGCGGACTGTGTGATAGCACAGGCGTCAGCTACACAAAATTCTTGCAACTGAGTGAGTGTCCTACATGCTCGACCCACCCAGTGCAACCCACAGAAGTCCATGAGTGTGTGAGAGGCTGCCTGGGTCTGAGTGACCTACATTTTATCGTCACATGAACACAAATTGTGTGAATGCTTGCGTGCCCTTCGATAAGTTGTGAGTGTGCAGACGCTGCACTACAAGGGCACCAAGTGCAAACTGGAAAACAGTCTAATGAGAACAATTACTTGTCTGTATGCATGTCCACAAGTGAGTATAATACCAGCATGATGATCACCTGTTGACAAAGGGAAACTTCAGATTTATAGTCCAGACCACAGCACTAAGGGGTTCTAGCACTAATCCAGTGAGACCTGCTGACCCAGCGCTTCCTCAGCTTTTGCTTGGCATGCTAATGCATTTCATCTGGGCAGAAAAGCAGCGGCCTCAATAAACCTCTTCACTATTTCTGCTGAATGTGCCACAAGACAATGACAAGGCTGCTTTCACAGGCCAGTGATGTGTAGACTGACTTTACTGTTTGAATTAAGTTAAAAGGTTAGAGCAGCTGTTTAGTTCAGAAATCCTAATTTTATATTTTATTAGTAAGTACAAGATAAAGACATTCTAATATTTAAGCCTCACAGATAAGAAAATGTACTGTTTTTCTTTCTCCAGACTTTCAATATTGTCGTGTTAGGGGCTGTTTATCAAGCAATGCAAGTGAAAATGAAGCTGCAATCAGTTTTGGACATTGGAAATTGGTTTGCTGTTTTGTTTCGAAGTAATTGGTTCATATATTATTTCAGATAACAAAAGACTATTTGTCTGCTTCCACACAGACCATGAATATTTGATAATTTTTTAAAGAACATTTCATTATTATTTTTAGCCAATGTCATCCATGATTGATTTACTAGTGCACAACTTCTTCAGTCTTTAAAAGTTTACTGTGCAGCTGGCTGACTGGCCAGAGCTCATTCGGTTGCTTTCCCAGAGAGGATTTCATCCCACAGTTGAACCTGCTCCTGCTTGCACAAAGTACCTGGTAATTCAAATATTTGCACAGAAGAAACTTATAATTTAAAATTGTCTGCAGGCAGCATGTCTGTGTGGGCTCTCTAATCACTCAGGTCGTGGCAGTTTCAAGTGCTTGAAAAGATAATAAGTGGGTTCTTTATGTTTATGAAGACATTTTACAATTTTTCAATTTAATTCAACTTTATTTATTTAGCGCCAAATCACAACAGCAGTTGCCTCAAGGCGCTTTATATTGCATGGTAAAGATCCTACAATAACACAGAGGAAACCTCAGCAATCAGATAAGCTCCTATAAGCAAGCAATTGATAGTGGAAAGTAAAAACTCCCTTTTAACAGGGTGAAACCTCAACATGCGCAGGGAGGAGCAAAGTCCAAAAAGCGCCTTCAGTTCTAAAACAACCAAACCCAACAATCACTCCACAAATGCATGACACAGAGCAGGTAGGAGGCCACCTCAACAGGACAGCACTCTGCTGTACACCTGCACCTGAAAGGACACTCTTTTGAGGATCCCAAAAGTCATATCTTGGCCTGAAAAGACAGATGGGACTCAGTAGAATTCTACACTCTGTTTTCCATTTCCACACATGTTTGCACATTTCAATAAATCACTTAGGGCTGCACGATTTTGCATAAAATGAGAATCACGGGTGAGGGCCTCCAGCTCGCACTGGAACGGTTCACAGCCGAGTGTGAAGCAGCGGGAATGAGGATCAGCACCT